GTCGTAAAATACTTGTCAGTAGATATCTATTCAACATCGACAAATAGACGTCTAATAGATGTTGTAAATGTGGACAATCGATCAATTATAGACGTCTAGTGGTAGACACGATTAAACGTCTAATGACCCTTGGGGGTCTAGAGAAAGATGCATATTAGACATCTAATAGACGTCTTTTTTCCGTGTGGGTTGCAACTGATCACCCCCTTTTCCCTCCCCCTCCCTTCCTCCTCTTTTTATGTCTCCTCGGATGTGAGGAGGGCCGGAGGGCCCGCCTTCCTGTCCATGACGCCCACTTTTGCCCGTTTGCCGTCCCCGCTTTCTCCGCGGGCGGGGAATAAACACGGCACGACCGACGTGACGAGCCACCTCCACGGGCCGCTCTGTGTGTCAGGGTGAACGCTCTCCACCTGCCCCCGGCGTCCCCGAGCGCCTGGCCGTGCTGTCCAGCCGGAGGACCGCCGGCCCGAGCTTGCGTCCCATCCGCCGGAAGACGCCTACCAGTCCCCGCCCCTCTCGTCTCTCTAGTACTCACACTCACCCCTCTCACTCCCCGTCACTGAAGCCCCCCCCCCCTTCCTTCCTTTTCTGACGCCCGGCGCCAGGATGTTGCGGCTTCAGCGGCCGCCTGTCCCTCAGCCGGCTGAGTGCCGTGCTGGGTAGGCAGCCCCGCCACGCCGCCGCGCGCTCCGGGCCGGCCAGCCCCCCGGGCGCCTCTTGGAGGCGGGTCGGCCGGCCGGACGGGGTCGGCCTGCGCCAGGAGGGGCAGGTCGGGCTGCTTCGGAGGGCGGGTTCGCGTGCCGAGCCTGAGCTGCACATTCGCTCACCCCACCTGCAGCTGCCCCCGCCTGCAGAGGTGCCTCAACTCTTGCAGCTGCCCCGCCCTCTGCCCGAGCGGCGCGCTGATAGCGGCGGCCATGGCGGCGTCACAAATGTCAGGGAATTACGCGTGCCGCCGTGTGTGCCGCCCGCCGCGCCGCCGGGCCTCCGCGGAGGAGATGGGCGCCGAGCCGCGCCGGCCTTGCGCGCTTTTTATAGACTATTCCGCTGGACCCGCTAATCACGATACTCTCGAAAAACAAATGCACCGGAAGTCATCTAAAACCTGCTCCAGAGGCTTTATTACGCCCTAATATTGTATGAATAAATTCCCAGGAGAAACATTTTGTCACTTTGGAACAGATTCTAGGGCTCTATGTAGGCTAAATTTTGATTTGAAATAGCCGACTTCCGGTGCATTTGTTTTTCGAGAGGTACGAGCGGAATGGTCTATTGCCTCCTCCCCTCCCCTCCCTACCCCTCCTGGTGGCATTTGCTTTTTGCTCACGGTGCGGCGCCCGGGCGGCCCGCGCCCTGCTGTTCCTCTTGCGCGCGTCACACGATGAGCGGGCGCGCGAGCGGGTGCGGTGCGGTTCGGCTCGTTACCGGCGCGGCGGCACATTGGGAGCGCTTTGAAAGCTCGCGTGCGGCGCGCCGGGGTCCGCCTACTATATAACCTCTTTGGCCTGCCTGCCTGGCCTGTGGATGGAGAGCGCGTTGCCCGGGCGCTGATGAGCTCCGCGAGGAGTCCGGGACCGCTCGCGCCCTTGGACGGCACTTATAAGAAAAGTAAAATAAAACACTGTCCAGTACAGTCCACATTGGTCATACGGTTTGTACTTTGGTGTACATTATTAGTAGTTTCGGTCCCGCACCGTTGCGAGTGGGTTTGCATGCTTTCATAGGCCATGGTGCAGAGGGAGCAGGCCAATCAGCTCGCACCGGCGAGTGCCATGAAACTCCCGGTACACGCCGACATCTACGCACTTGACTGGCCGTACC